GTCTTGTTTCTCTCCAATAACATCTAAAAAACAATGTGTGAAGAAAAATGCATTAAATAAACAAGGATGAATAATCCTAAATACATACACTCCATTGAGTAGATCAGAAATAAATTAGTCCTGTGCCAAGGTGAATTCCTAACCAAGTCACACATAGTTATTATAAAGGAAACAGAGATTATCATATGCAGCTTTATTCCAATCCTGGAATAATAATGCTGCAAGGATTTGGATAAAAATAAAAAATCTCATTGTGGAATTCACAGCAAAGTTAAATTTCAGTGAATCTACCTATTTGTTGTGGAATTCACAACACATTTAAATTTCAATGACACCTATATTTACAGAGTGGTTTTATTTGTTCTTCAATATCTGCTCTTTTTAGTAAAATTGCCTAAACTTGATGTATAATCCATTAATCTAGAATTTATATCTTAATGAATGAGTGGTAAAAAGTTATATAAATATAATATAATGATCTAATTTAATTATTTCCCATGTAAAAATGAAATATGTGTAGGTAGTCATTTGATCAATGCAGGTAGCAGCCACCTATACACAATTAATTAAATGTGAACAGAGTTGCCACACAAGAGCTTCTCTCTTCTCCCTCATCAATCCCTCACCAACTTCTTTTAGTTGCAATTATGTGTGCTTAGCAACGAAATTTGGAAGTCAGAATAAGTTGTTTTTTGGAGGAAAATACAGTTTCCCCCTTAAATCATTTTACTCTCTAAAGCCTAGCAGTACGCATGATTCATAGTAGTTGTTGAGGTAAATGTGTGGTAAAGTTTAATAAATGTGAAAGCAATGTCTGTACCTGCAATTGCTTTCTTAAAAAAGAAACACCAGATGGATAATGAAGAAACTAGCAAAAATCATACTGTTGAGGAGCTGGAAGAATCAGTATAGAAGGTAAGAACCAAAACCATCCATCCTGACACAGAAGACTGCTCACATTTTCATGATTTAACAACTCCACTACATGTGTGTCAACATGACTTTATGATTGCAGGAAAATTGCTCAAGAGGGTAATAGTTGCAAATAACTTCTCATTTCAGGAACTTACTGAAAATCTTATTTCAATAAACATCAAATTGTTCAGCTCTTCAATAGAAGGCATAAAATGACAGCTTATTCCCCAAGTCTTTCTAAGGGTTCTCAAAATATTTACCTTGCCACCTCAACCAAATGTAAATTATTAAAAACCTTGCCTCTTCCTAATCAAACTCTCTCATAAAAGTCCCTCTTTAAACTATAGTCTAAAGCTTCATAAATATCCCAGTTTTCTCTTCCCCCTTTCAGACTTTACTAATACTTTATCAGGGTCATGTGCTTCCTTTCCAAGATAGAAATACACACGATGTTTTCCCCAATAAACTAGTTCTACAGTTTTGAGTAGCCATCATTCAACAGTGGACAGAATTAAAGTGAGTTTTTTCTATGCATATTTCTTTTTCATACTACAGCTCTTTATTTTATTTGTTTATTTTGTTTATTATACTTTAAGTTCTGGGGCACATGTTCAGAACATGCAGGTTTGTTACATGGGTATACACGTGCCATGGTGGTTTGCTGCATTCATCACTCTATCATCTACATTAGGTATTTCTCCTAATGCTATCCTTCCACTATCCCCATACTCCTGGCTATCCCTCCCCTAGCACTCCATCCCCCAACAGGCTCTGGGGTGTGATGTTCCCCTCCCTGTGTCCATGTGTTCTCATTGTTCAACACCCACTTATGAGTGAGAACATGAGTTGTCCAGTTTTCTGTTCTTGTGTCAGTTTGCTGAGAATGATGGTTTCCAGATTCATCCATGTCCCTGCAAAGGACACGAACTCATCCTTTTTTAGGTCTGCATAGTATTCCATGGTATATACGTACCACATTTTCTTTATCCAGTCTATCATTTATGGGCATTTGGGTTGGTTTCAAGTCTTTGCTATTGTGAACAGTGCCACAATAAACATACATGTCCATGTGTCTTTATAATATAATGATTTTTTTTTGTAATCCTTGGGGTACTCAGTAATGGAATTGCTGGGTCAAATGCTATTTCTATTTCTGAATCCTTGAGGAATTGCCACACTGTCTTTCATAATAGTTTAACTAATTTACACTCCCACCAACAGTGTAAAAGTGTTCCTATTTCTCCACATCCTCTCCAGCATCTGTTGTCTCCTGATTTTTTAATGATTGCCATTCTAACCAGTATCTCATTGCGGTTTTGATTTGCACTTTTCTAATGACCAGAGATGATGAGCTTTGTTCCATATGTTTGTTGGCTGCATAAATGTCTCCTTTTGAGAAGTGTCTGTTCATAACTTTTGCCCATTTTTTGATGGGATTGTTTATTTCTTGTAAATCTGTTTTAGTTCTTTGTAGATTCTGGATATTAGCCCTTTGTCAGAGGGCAGATTGCAAAAATTTTTTCCTGTTCTGTTGGTTGCCAGTTCACTCTAATGATAGGTTCTTTTGCTGGGCAAAAAGTTCTTTAGTTTAATTAGCTCCCATTTGTCTATTTTGGCTTTTGTTGCCATTGCTTTTGGTGTTTTAGTCATGAATTCTTTGCCCATGCCTATGTCCTGAATGGTGTTGCGTAGGTTTTCTTCCAGGGTTTTTATGGCATTAGGCCTTATGTTTAAATCTTTAATCCATCTGGAGTTAATTTTTGTATAAGGTGTAAGGAAGGGATCCAGTTTCAGCTTTCTGCATATGTCTATCCAATTTTCTCAACACCATTTATTAAATAGGGAATCCGTTCTCCATTGCTTGTTTTTGTCAGGTTTGTCAAAGATCAGTTGTACAGCATTCTTTCTGAGGCCCTGACCCTAAACTGGCATAAAAATGTGGACCGCCCTTTGTTCTTGGCCGAGAGTTTTGAGCTCTAGCTGACTCTTGGACGCCAGTATGAAGTTGGGCTCTCAACAAACTCAGTGCATGGTGCTCCCATTTAAACTCTCAGGTATAACAATCTACTAACCTTGTTTGTCTCTTGTCTCCTTCAGGCCATCAAACTCCAAACTGTCATGCAGCCTTGGATGATGGCCCTTTTGCCAGGAATACTTAGACTGGTCTCTGAGGGAGATCTGACTGCCACCTTCCCAAAACAGCGCCTCACTATCAGCAGGAAGCAGTTAAGAATGGTTTCATCTTTATCCTTTCCTTTATTATAAAGGCAGTTAGATGTACTTCTTTAGAGAGGGAATGGTAGAGACAGGAGGCAGTCAAAGGTTCCCTGGCAAAACCCCTCCTTCAAGCCTAAAACAGCCTGAAGGTGAAAAACCGGAGTGCCTGTCTGTCCCAGATGAAGCCTTCCCTTTTCCTAACTGATCCTTTCTGAATAATGCCCACCTGTGCACAGGGAGGACTGGATGGAGCCTCAGGAAGTGAGCACCCTTTGCAGGGGAAGGAGTCTGGCCTCTCCTCTTCCTGGGTGGTTGACCTGGGATTCAATCTGTGAGGCTTGGCCTGTTAACGGGAACCTCTGTCACTTTACTAAGAGGCTTTTTCCTTTTCATCCAATAAATTCCATTCCCCCTCACCCTTCAAAGCGTCTGCGTTCATAATATTTACTGGTTGTGTGACAAGAACTCATTTTTCTTCCACAACAATAGTATTTCTCATGTTTGCTATATCTTTACTTATTTAGTCTGTTCTTGCTCTATCAATTAAGAAAGGAGTGTTGAAATTACAATTATATTTGTTGAAATATCCATTTCTATTTTTTCAGTTTTGTCAGATTTTACTACATATATTATAAGGCTCTAGTGTTAGGCATATTTATAATTGTTATCTTTTCCTTCTATAGTGACTTTTTAAATTAAAAGATCCTTCTTTATAGCTAGTAATACACCTTACTTTAAAATCTATTTTTGTCTGATTTTATTGTAGCCACTCTAGCTCTCTTACAGTTATAATTATATGATACAGATTTTAAATCAAGTTACTTATTACTTATTTCTGTATTTAAATCTAAAGTAAGTCTCATCTTTTATGGATAGCACATAGCCATATATTTCTCTTTTAACCAAGTTAGTTACCATATCCATTGCCTCCCTTACCCATCATTTAAGTGGAATAATATTCTATTATAAATAGTATTCCTGTGTGTGGAGCATTAAGGGTGATATAGTGAGGGCTTAAAAGGAGGCAAAAAGACTAAAAAATGTTTAAAACTTCTTAGAGATTGGTTAAGTTGCCATGACCAGAATGCTGACAGTAATATAGACTGTAAAAGCTATTCAGATGAGACTGCAGATGGAGATGAGGAATATCTTACTGGGACCTGGGGTTAATGCCATCTTTGTTACACATTAGCAGAAAACTTGATCACACTGTGTCCCTGTCCTAGGGCATTCTGGACATTGCTAAGCAGCAAATAGGCTACTGCACGGTTACTTCTAACTGCTTCCAGTGAACTGCTAGGAAGAAGGGAAGTAGAGTGGAAAGATTTGGAAAATTGCTTGACCATGTGGTAGAGAATAAAACAGTGTTTTCAGAAGAAAAATCAAGCGTGTGGTGTAGCAATCTTTTGCTAAACAGATTAGTGTAAAGAGAACAAAGCCAGAGGCTATTTATCAGAATGATGAGAAAAAGACCCCAAAGGCATTTCAAAGATCTTCCAGGCTGTTTCTCCTCTCTTACGCCCAGAGATCTTTAAGGGTGGAATCATTTTGGGGGGATAGGTCTGGAGCACAGGCTTCTGGATTCTCTTCTCCATGCAAGCCAGCTGCTCTGGCTGCTCCAGCCATGGTTCAAGTGATTCCAGGTACAGCTCATGTTGCAGCTTCAGAAGGCATAAGCAGTAAGCCTTGGCAATATCCACATCCATATGGTGGTAATTCTGCATGTAGGCAGAATGCAAGCAAGGAGGAGGTATAGAAGCCTCCACCTGGATTTCAAATTATTTGTCAAATTGCCTAGGATCTCAGGCAGAAATGCGTCACAGTGGCAGAGTCAGCACAGAGAATCTCCTCTAGAATGCCCAGTGGAACCACGGGAGCAGAGCCACCTCTCTCTGGACTCCAGACCCACAGAAGTCATCAGCACCATGCAACACCAGCCTGGGAAATCTGCAGGCACCAGCACGCAACCCCAATGGGCTACACCCAGCAAAGCCCTGGAGATGGGGCTGCCCAAGGTCTTGGAGCCCCTACCCTACCAGAGTGTGTCCAGTAAAAGGTACATGAAGTAAAAGAGTATTCTGAGCTTTGAGATTTAATGTCTTTGCTGCCTAGCTTCAGGCTTACTTTGGGCTGATTTTTCTTTTTGCCTGTTTCTCCCTTTTGGAATGAGATACTTACCTTATGCTTGTTCCACCATTGTATTTTGGAAGTAAATAAATTTCTTTTTTTATTTTACAGGCTTACAACTGGAAGTACTTTGCCTTAAGTCCCAGATGAAACTTTAGACTTTTGCTATAGTGTTAGAATGAGTTAAGACTTTTGGCAGTACTGAAGTGGGAAGAAAACACTTTTCATCGTAAGTACATGAATTACAGGGTGAGCCACGGACAGAATGCTATGATTGAATGTGGTTTGTTTCTACCAAAACTCATGTTGAATCATGTTCTCCAACGTGGCACTGTTGGGAGGTGGTAGCTTTAAAAGGTGTTTAGGTTATTCAGATGGATTATGTCTTTCGTTTCAGATTGGGTTAATTCTTTTAGAATGGTATGATTCCTGAAAGAATGGATTGTTATAAAGTGAAGTTGCCGCTCCATTTGGCCTTTCTTTCTTTAGTGTGCTTGCTTCCCCTTCCATTTCCCTGCCATGTCATGATGAAGTAGAGGTCATCATCAGATGCTGACCAAACATGGCTGCCCAGTGTTACACTTTCCAGCCTCCACAATGCTGAGGCAAATAAACCTCTTTTTGAATAAATTACCCAGTCTCAGGTATTCTATAATAGCAACTCAGAACAGATGAAGACAAAGAGCATAGACATTTTCACAATATTATATTTCTAATCCATGAACATGGCATATCTTTCCATTTATTCGTATTAGCCTGAATTTCTTTCCTCATTGTTTATAGTTTTCAGTATTTAAGTTGATATAGTTTGGATGTTGTCTCCACCCAAATCTCCTGTTGAACTGTTGTCCCCAGTGTTGGAGGTAGGGCCTGGTTGGAGGTGATTGGATTATAAAAACAGATTTCTCATGAATACAACCATTCTGTTAGTACTGTCCTTTCAATAGTGAGTGAGGTTTCATGAGATCTGATCCTTCAAAAGTGTGTGGTACCTCCCCTTTCCGCTGCTTTGACCATGTGACATTCCTGCTCCCCCTTTGCCTTCTACCATTGTTGTACGTTTTTTGAGGCCTCCCCAAAAGCAAGCAGATGCCAGCAACATGCTTTGCGTATGGCCTGTAGAGGTGTGACCCAAGTAAACTGCTTTTCTTTGTAAGTTACCCAGTCTAATGTATTTTTTTTTTTTGAGATGGAGTTTCATTCTTGTTACCCAGGCTGGACTGCAATGGCGCGATCTCGGCTCACCACAACCTACACCTCCTGGGTTCAGGCAATTCTCCTGCCTCAGCCTCCTGAGTAGCTGGGATTACAGGCATGCGCCACTGTGCCCAGCTAATTTTTTGTATTTTTAGTAGAGATGGGGTTTCACCATGTTGACCAGGATGGTCTCAATCTCTTGACCTCGTGATCCACCCGCCTCGGCCTCCCAAAGTGCTGGGATTACAGGCATGAGCCACTACGCCTGGCTTATATTTTTTATAGCAATGTGGAAATGATCTAATACCCAAGTCTTCTACAATTAAATTTACACCTAGGTGTTTTACTTTTATATTGCTACTGTAAATGAGGTTTTATTTTTAATTTCCTTTTAAGATAGCTCATTATTGCAATATAGAAAAGCTACTGATTTTTTCACATTAATTTTGAATGTTGCAACTTTAGTGCATTCATTAATCAGTTCTAATAGTTTTTTTTATAATATCTTTAAGGTGTTTTGCACATAAGATCATGTTATCAACAAAGAAACAATTTCACTTTTCTCTCTCCTATTAGTATGCCTTTTATTTTGTTTTCTTGCCTAATTGCTCTGCTCTGACTTCCAGTACTTTATCAAAGAGAAGTGGTGTGGCCAGGCATGGTGGCTCGTGCCTGGAATCCCAGCACTGTAGGAGGCCAGTGCAGGTGAATCACTTCAGGTCAGGAATTGAAGATTGGTCTGGGCAACACAGTGAAACCCCATCTCTACTAAAAATACAAAAATTAGCTGAGTGTGGTGGGAGGTGCCTGTAGTCCCAGCTACTCTGGAGACTGAGGTGGGAGAATTGCTTGAACCTGGGAGGCAGAGGTTGGAGGGAGTAGAGATCATGCCACTGCACTCCAACCTGTGCCACAGAGTGAGACTCTGTCTCAGAGAGAGAGAGAGAGAGAGAAAGGGGGGGGGAGAGAGAGAGAGAGAGAGAGAGAGAGAGAGAGAGAGAGAGGTGGTGAGAGTGGTGAGAGTAAACATCTTTGTTTTGTCCCTGATCTTAGAGAAAATGCTTTCAACTAGTCACTGTTAAGAATAATAATACCAGCTATGGCTTTGTCATATATTGAATTGAAGTATAATTTTTCCATATATATAATTTGTTGGGAATTTTTATAATAAAACTGTGCTGGATTTTATTAAGTGCTTCTTCTGCATCTTCTCATATTTTTATTTTTCGTTTTGTTAAAGTGGTGCATCACATTTATTGACCTGCATATTTTAAACCATCCTTGCAGCATAAGAATAACTCTCACTTGATTGTGACAAATGATTCTTTTAATGTGTTCTTGAATTGGGTTTTCTAATATTTTGTTGAAGATTTTTAAAATTTATCTTTATCAATGATATTGGTGTGTGTGTGTACATATATGTATGTATATATGTATATATATATATATATGTGTGTATATATATGTGTGTGTGTGTGTGTGTGTGTGTATATATATATATATATATTTTTTTTTTTTTCCTCTTGTAGTCCTTGTCTGCCTTGGTGTTGTGGTAATGAATTTGGAATATAAACTGAGTTTGGAAGTATTGTTTATGCTTCAGTTTTTTGGAATGGTTTGATAATTGGTATTATCTCTTCTATAAATGTTTTGTAGAACTTAGCAGTGAAGTTGTCCAGTCCTGGGCTTTTCTTTAGTGGGAGATATTTTTTTTTAACTGATTCAATCTCTGTATTTATTATTGCTCTGTTCAGGTTTCTATTTCTTCATGTTTCAGGTTTCAAAGTTTCCATGTGTCTAGGAATTATCTATTTCTTCTAAGTTATCCAATGTATTGGTGTGTTCACAGTAGTTTCTTATGATTCTTCGTATTTGAGTGGTATAAATTGTAATGTTTCCCCTTTCATTTCTGATTTTGTTTACTGAATAATCTCTCTTTTGTAACTAGTAAGCCTAGTTAAGGGTTCGTCTATACTTTTTTAAACGTGCTCCTAAATGCTCTTAATTTCTAACTGACCCCAGGTGGTCCACCCCTGCTTGTACTCCCAATGTTTCCTGCGAGACAAAATAGGAATGAGCCTTCTTTGAAGGATTCCTGAGTGATGGGAAAACTGAAGATTTACTTTCAACTCACTTTCCCCACTGTAGAAATTGTAGTTGCAGGGTAATTCTCTTTGTATGGTACTGTGTTGGCCTAGGGAAAGGGCAATGAGGTGAAATATTTGAGGTCTTAATATTTGATTTCTGCTTTTCTTTGTTCTGAAATCCAAGGGTCCAAGGGAAGTCTTAACCTCACTCCTGAGTACTGGGACATTTAGGATGGTATACTTCCTGTATAGTTGCTGTTGGATTTCTATAGGGGGAGTGAAGCCCAATAATCCTACTCCACTATTTTGCTGATGTCACTCCTCCAATATTTTTAAAATACTGAATTATTTTTTCCTGCAAAATCCAATATCTGGTCCTATGTAGTGTCAACATCTTTTGACTCAATACTCTTTCAAGTCTTGGTCACACTTTCATGTTTCTTTGGATATCACATAATTTATTGTTGAAAATTTAATATATTATAAAATGTATAATACCAACTCTGGAATACATTTTACATTTCTGTGTATGTGTGTTAAAATTAGCTTTGATGTATAGCTCAGCCACTGATACTCTGCTTAATTTTATTTTATCACTTACTACTATTATTATTGTAATTTTATGCCTTGTTTCTAGGAATACCTCCCTGTGTCCATTTATTTATTCATTTATTAATTTTTTTTTAGGCATATTGTTATTCTGTCACCCAGGCTGGAATGTGATGTCTTGATCATAGCTCACTGTAATCTCAAATTCCTGAGCTCAAGTGATCTTCCCACTTCAGCCTCCCAAGTAATTAGGACTATAGGCACACACCACCAGCCCAGATATATTTTTTAAAAACTTTTTTGCAGAGAAAGGTCTTCTGTATGTTACCCAGGCTAGGCTCAAACTCCTCGCCTCAAATGATCCTCCCAGCATGGCCTTCCAAAGTTCAGGGATTATAGGAATGAGCCTGGCCCTCCAGTGTGACTTCATAGTTTATCAATCACCCAATTATTTGGATAGAGGATGTACTCAAAGGCTTTGTTTCCATAAGGTGTCTACCCACTTTATATTTATTAGTGAGTGGTTTGGAAAACACACTTAAAGTTGAAGTCCTCAAATCTCCCTCAGCCTGTACTTCTCAAATCCCTCTCAGGTCTCCCTCACAGCCAGTGATATGTGAGATCTTATCTCAGCCCTTCTATGGCTCTCTCATTTTTAGAATCTCTTGGCTAACTTTCTTGCTGATACATTCCTCACCCAACCAAGACCTCCGTGTGCTAATATATATGTGAGTTTTCTCAACTGTTCCCACCTAAGTACTTGCTTTTAGCTGGCAAAGCCATAGATTTTCACTTACTACTCTAAACTAAGGAAGTTCCCTATGCATAGCCTCAGAACTGTTGGTTTTCAATGCCAGCTGTTACAACTACTATTTTTGCTGAATCTATTGATGTAAAGAGTGAAGATGGAAGCCACCCTGGTAAGAAGGCCACAGATACTCCTCTAACTTGCAACTGTTCCATTTACTTTAAAAGTATATTTTATTTACTTGTTTTCTGTTTTAGTGCCTTAAAATATTGTTTCTATTTTTTCCCAGTATTATACAGATGGTCCCTAAGTTACAAGGGTTCAACATACACTTTTTCACTCACAATGGGTTTATGTGAATGTAATCCTATCATAAGTCAAGAAGCATTTGGACTTACAATCTCTCAACCTACAACTTTTGACATTAGGTGGCTATGAGGGTATTAAACATGTTTTGACTTAAGATATTTCTTTACTTATTGTAAGATATCATGATTGTAAGTCTAGAAGCATCTGCTTTTTGGAGAGAATCTGACAACATCTTCATGCTGCCCAAACTAGAATAAATTAATTTTTAAATAGGGGAATTTAATGCTAGTTCCCTAAAAAAATTTAATCTGGAATATATTTACTTGCTAGTAATCATTC